GATTCCGCTCTATATATGAGCTCTATGGGCAATATTTCCGGCTCGAACGGGAGCCTCTAGGACAGGCATGTCCAACCCAAATTACTCTGTGGGCCAAAATTCAGAAATGTACAAGGCACTGGGCCGCAACCAACATAAAAAAAAAAAAACTGAAAAACAAAAGCATAAATAAAACTCACAATAAGAGGAAATATGAAACTTATTATATTTGATGGTTTTCTTATATATAAATATACACAATACGATACAATAATTTGCTAATGAGATATTTGCTTATTTATATTGTTGGAAATTTTTTTAATATCGACTTCTAATTTTGTTGTGGCACAACGTAGCTGATTTCTCAAATTTTCATCGGTGAGCCTGTTACGATCCTTGCTTTTGGCCAATTTTAATCTAGAAAAAAATGACTCACAAAGATATGTTGTGCCGTTAGCTGCCACAACACACATGGCTAATTCCTTCAAATGAGGAAATTTATCTTCCGTTATAAATTTGCTATAAAACTCTACAATATTCATGCTATCAAACCTGAGTTTCAATTCTGAGTTCGACTGCAGATCTATTAATTCTAATTGTAGATTTTCTGGAACTGAATTAATATCTATTATAAATGGGCATGTGAAAACATTGAACAAGTGCTCATATTTTGATAAATAAGCAAATCTTTTTTCAAATTCCTCAAGCAAATATTTAATATTTGTTGAGTATTTAGAAATAGGCTTATCTTTCATGTCAAAATCATGTAAGTGCGGAAAATGGATAGCATTGTTATTTTTTAATTCATTGTGATAGAACTTCAGCTTGGCAATGAACGTCTTAATTTCTTGGTAGCTATTCGTAATTAATTTGTTTGCTCCTTGCAGATTTTGATTCAACTCGTTCAACTTAGATGTAATATCTATTAAAAAACACAAATCCAGCAACCACCTTTCATCATATAATTCTGGTACTTCTTCGCCATTTTTACTCATAAAAATACGTATTTCTTCTTTGAGGTTCCAAAATCTTAACAAACATTTTCCACGACTCAACCATCTAATTTTAGCATAATATAGTAAGTCATAATATTCTGAGTCATAATATTCTCCAGTTCACGAAGGTATTCTTGGAACTGCCGGTGTCTTAATGAATTATTCTTTATTTTGTTAATAATATTAATAACAACTGACATCACATGAGGCATATCTAATGATTGAGCACATAAGTTCTCTAAATGTAGAAAGCAATGGCAAATAAAAAAATTCAATGGTGTATTTTGATCCATGCTTTCAATATGCTTGCAGAGCAGATTAACTGCTCCAATATTTTTTCCTATCATTGATGGTGCTCCATCTGTTGTTATACCAATAAGTTTTTTTTAAGTCTAACTTTCTATCTTCCATGCATTTTAAAACAGCATCCTTAACATCTCTACCCGTTGTCGTATCCTTGAGACTTACAAGATCAAAAAGTTCTTCATTTATATTGAGCTGATTATCAACTCCTCGAATGAAAATTGCCAGTTGTGATGTGTCATTGATGTCTGTTGTTTCATCCAATGATAATGAATAATAAACAAATTGTTTTGCTATTATATCAAGCTTGAAAGAAATTTCCATTGAAATATCATCAATTCTACGTGTAACTGTTTGGTGAGATAAACTTATTTGCTTATATATATGAACCTTTTCTGGATCAATTTCTTCTACTGCAGCAATCAAACAATCTTTGATGTATTCTCCATCTGAAAATGGTTTTAATTTTTTTGCTATTATTTGGGATATTTTAAAACTTGCACTGACAATGCCATTTGATTTTTGGCTTTGTTTGTGAAATATATTTTGTTGAGACATTAAATTACCCTTCAGCAGGAATAATTTGGCCTTCCGTTCATCACCAGAAAGTACAGAAAGTTCCGTATGTTTTTCATAATGCCTTCCTATGTTATAAGTTTTAGCAACAATTGTTTCACGGCAAAATAAGCACACAGCATTATTCTTTATTTGTGTGAAAAAGTAATCATTTTCCCAATTACTATTGAATTGCCTGTTTTCATCTTTTAAATTTCTTTTCTTGTTATCCGACATTGCACGTCAGTATTCTGAAATAATTAAAGAAACGAATTAATTTTGTCTAGAACTGCAGATTATATATAAAACAATTTGACACGTAATAACATAAATGCACATGAAATATAAGAAATCAGCTTACCTCAGGTTTTCTATGTATCAATTTTCTTCTTCTGTATTTAATGTTATTTCCTCCACGTCTCAAAAGCAAAAGAACACCAAAAACAAAATTATTTACAAACATATTTGAAACATGGCGACTACGCGTCATTAGGAAGTTTGATATGTTTATTTATCTGGTTGGCTACATGACAAACATGAACTTAGAAATAAAGTTGTCATCTCGTTCATAGAGCCGCTAATTTGTCGTTGTCCTTTGCGTTAAGAGTTACTTGTGGTTAGCTGTCAAGCGCTAGTCGTAGAATATCCTATGGTCATATCGATTGATGACCATTACATCTTTTTAAAACGCCATTCACGCACTTCAAACATATATTTTGTATTATCAATCATAAAATTTTAAATATTTGTTTTGGTCGATCTTTCGTTTTTTAGCATTGGGCCGCACAAAAATAGCTACCGGGCCGCATGCGGCCCGCGGGCCGCGGGTTGGCCATGGCCGCTCTAGGATGAGGTGAAAATCGGCATTCTCTACCTAACCTCAGTGGCATACATTTGAACGCATTAATCATATATTAAATATAATTGTTGTTTGTCTGAAATATATCTTTGTGAAAGTTGATAGTTTTCTTTATAAATACCTCCTTCGCTAAAGCAAAATCCTAACAATATATATATATATAAATTGAAAGGTTTTTTTCATGTGGTGAAATATAATAAAGTTTTTTTTGGGCGTTCATCCAATAATTAAAACTATTTTATTGAAGTAAAATGGTTGTATTATCAAACGTTTCGGGTCCTGATTTGACCCATCTTCAGTGTATATAAATAATTTGGAGAAAAAACAAAAAACACGGAAAATAATATTAATTACTATATCGAGAATATACTTTCTACATATATAAATTTCAAGTCTCTGGTGAAATAGTTAACAATTTAAGTCGATACTATATTAATAGTCAGTTAATATATTTTTAAAATTAATTTATTATTACCGATAGCGTTATTTCATTTTTTCTATATCAGTGTGCAAATTCATGTTGCACTTTTAGTGAACGAGTTAAAACAACAAATCGTCAGTACCACAGTTCGATGGCAAATTGAAAGTATTATATAAATGACTTTTTGAATTTCTAAAATATCTCAAAGCGTTCTCGAGATATTGCATTTTTAAACATTTCGATTTCGCAAGATCCATATTGATTTTTTTGCAACTTATAAAATTTGCAATGTGTAAAAATGCAATTTTGTAAAAACTATTGCAGATATTTTGGTGATACAAAAAGTTGTTCTAAAAACATTTTTAATTTGCCATCGAATGGTAATACTCTCGATTTCCAATTTTTACTAGTTCATCAAGAATATATTTTATACATAAATGAATCTTCAGGTTTGGATAAATAGTTAACAATGCAAGCCGATAATATGTATCTTTATAGTTAATATATTTTTAAAGTTAATTTATTATTACCGATTGTGTTTTTTCATGTTTTCTATATGAGTATGCAAATTAATGTTGCACTTTTAGTGAACGAGTTAAAACAGCAAATTGTGATTAACACAGTTCGATGGCAAATTGGTAGTATTATATAAAGGACTTTTTGAATTTCTAAAATATCTCAAAGCGTCCTCGAGATATTGCATTTTTAAACATTTCGATTTTGCAGGATCCATATTGATTTTTTACAACTTATAAAATTTGCAAAGTGTAAAAATGCAATTTTATAAAAACTATTGCAGATATTTTGGTGATTTGAAAAGTTGTTCTAAGAATATTTTTAGTTTGCCATCGAATAGTAATACTCATGATTTCCAATTTTCACTAGTTCATCAAGAATATACATTATACATAAGTAAATCTTCAGGTTTGGTGAAATAATTAATAATGAAAGTCGATAGTACGTATCTTTATAGTTAATTAATATATTTTCAACGTATTTTTTTCATTTTCGATTGTGTTATTTGAAGCTTTCTATATGAGTATGCAAATTAATGTTGCACTTTTAGTGAACGAGTTAAAACAGCAAATAGTAAGTACCACAGGCAAATTGAAAGTATTATATAAACGACATTTTGAATTTCTAAAATATCTCAAAGCGTTCTCGAGATATTGCATTTTTAAACATTTCGATTTCGCAGGATGCATATTGATTTTTTACAACTTATAAAATTCGCGAAGTGTAAAAATGCAATTTTGTGAAAACTATTGCAGATATTTTGGTGATTCAAAAAGTTGTTCTAGAAACATTTTGAATTTGCCATCGAATGGTAATACTCTTAATTTCCAATTTTCACAAGTTCGCCAAGAATATACATATCATTTTTTATTTGAAATCGAAATTTTGATAAATGCAATATATCTTTGAATAAATGTATATATATATATATATATATATATATATATATACATATGTATATACATATATATTCATGTATAAATTTCTATATCCCATATATCGAATATATTTCCAAGTGAATGCCTATAGATCATACGTCGGCGCAATCAACGTGCGTGGCTTTGTGTCGTAATAAACAATAGGTTGGCTGTTAACAAGCAGTCAGGTATCCGTTAAACACAACACAACAAACACACAGGCAGACAGACGAACAAACAGACGAACAGACAAACAGACATCCTACTGACGTTAATGGGACGACCGCCTCCACTGGAGCTGCTCCCCCCGGAATCTCTGTCGGTTCAAAGACTTTGGCACTTCGTGGAACGGATTCTCCTCCACTGTTTTGATTGTAATGATGATGATGTGATGGATAGACACAGGTCGGGGAATTAACAAAAACTGGGTGTAAGTGGCATTTTGACTTGAGGCAAAAACTTACCGAAATAATTGACTTAATCGATCGGCATTAGGAATTAAATATTTAGATTATTCTCAGAATTAAAGATCACATTCAAAGTAGTTTTATTCAAAACTTTTATATCGGAGTGTATAAAAGTGTTTTCTAGGAAATGTTGTAAATTTTATCTAGTTTCACGCCGTCTAACTGAAAATGGGTGGTTCCATATTAAATTTTTGAGTGATTTGATAAAAACCAAAACTAGCTGTAAGTGGAATTCTATCTTGAGGCAATTATAGCATCGTGCCTTAAGGCAAATTGCTGGAACTTCCCGTACCGTAACGAAATGTTCGTGGAATACTGAATGTTTTCAAATAGATTATTATAAACACTGTAACATTGTCTAATATTTATAAGAATTATATAAACTGAATTGCAGAGTTGAAATTATTTGTAAAGTATATTTGAACTATAGTCAGAATTAAAAATAAAATCTGAAATATTTTCGATATACAAAAAACTAAAAAAAAAAAAAAAGTTGGAACAAAATTTTTTTTCCAAAATCAATTATTTTGTTAAGACAAGCAGAAAGTTCTTTGAATCATTCAAATCGGACGCTTAGTTCTCTCAAAAACTGTCATTTTTTACATATTTAGCTCCGTATCTTCAAAATGGCTGAGCCTGCCTTTGCCAAAAACTAATAAACACTTCTCCCAATCATTACTAATTGAATGTTTTTTAGATCATTCAAATCGGATACTCCGTTCTTTCAAAAATACGATTTCTATTTTCTGCACTCTTTGCTCCGTATTTCCGAAACGGCTGGACCTGCCTTTGCCAAAAACTAATCAGCTCTTTTCCCTATCAATAGGATTCGAATGTTTTTTGAACCATTCAAATCGGTTGATCCGTGCGCCGCAAAACGTGACTGGAAATTTGTATCCATACATACATACATACACACACACACACATCCATTTTTTCTGAGGTATGCCAAAACGTTCAGAAACCTTCAAAACGTCGAGAAATGTAAAAATTGTCAATTCCGATTTTCGGCCCATTACAATAACTTACCCTACGGGAAGTTAAAAATGTCCCGAATTTTCTATTTATTACTACTAAAGAATGAAATATCGAATTCAAAGTCGTTTTATTCAAAACTTTTATATGGGAGTGTATATAATTGTTTATACGGATTTGTAGTAAATTTTATCTAGTTTCTGCTAAGCTAACTAGAAAACGAGTGCCGGGTTCAAAGTTTTTGCATAATCTGACAAAATGTGAAAAAAATGCCCTTGATATTCTGTTTCAAACATGTACAAAACACAAAACCAATTTCAAGCTTGTTTTATTCAAAATTTTAGTTTTATACAAAAAATGTATATTGAAGTGTATGTAATTTTTTACAAGAATTTCTAGTAATTTTTATCTAGTATCTGTTAAACTAACTATAAAAGAGTGCCCAATACACCGATTTTGTACAATTTGATAAAATGTAAATATTCTAATTCAAACTTGTACACAACTTGTTGTGAAATTTTTGAGTTATTTGACAAAAACCACAAAAATGTCCAGAAATTTCTATTTATTGCTACTAAAGAATGATGAAATATCGAATTCAAAGTCGTTTTATTCAAAACTTTTATAACGGAGTGTATAAAAGTGTTCCCTAGAAATCGTAGTAAATTTTATCTAGTTTCACCCTATCTAACCTAAAAGGGGTGGCTCCATATGAAATTTTTGAGTTATTTGATAAACACCTAAAAAAAAAATCAGAAAACGAATTAAATTTATCATCTTGTTTATATGTAAATTACACCTGATCGTACATACTAATACATAGATATTTTCACAGTTTTCACAACCAATAAACAAGCATGTTTTTAAAAAAATGATATGGAAAATGTTATAAAAAAAACAGGGAACTGAAAACCTAGGCACATGTCACCGATAAATTTCAAAAAAAATTTTAGAATAATTAAAGAAAGTGTGATTCTTTATTAGTCCCATTAAACGAAACAAAAACTTTGATAAATCTCTATCCGGCAAGTATGTAGATTTACCACCTCTGCTCTAGATGAGGATCTAGGGTACCTTTGTAT